CACTTCTCAGTCCTGGATCAGGAAACTGGATTAATTTTTGCTTCACCTTTGGTGAGAGGGAAGGGATTACCCCTGGGTCAGGGCCTCAGCCCAGCGGGCAGCCCGAGGTAGTAATTTATAGGACTAATAGTAAACACCATACTTCATAACCAAACTCAACCTGAGGATGGTTGAGTATTTGGACTGCTGCCTCCAACCTGGACACTGTTATTCTGCGGGTCCACACCCTCCCCATTAGCCTGTATGATCCCGACGCCAGGTTCCTTCCACACACCACGTTCTGACTGGGGTTCAAAAGGTCTGCTTCGGACGACCAGAGATGGGGAGTAACACTGCCCCTAGCTCGGCAAACCGCGGGGAGCGGGGCGCGAGGTTAGGAATGGTTTGGCTTTGTAGTATTATTCAGTATCAGAAAATAATCCAAATGGGAGGTAATTTGGGTCCCACTGAGTTCGGTTTAGTTTTTCTGCCTAGTGCAGGAGGGCTGTTTGGGGAGTCCAGCTCCGGCCTGGAGGCCCCGGCTCCCGGGACCCCAGGGCTTGGCACTCCCCACTTGGCGGCCATCCGAGATCGGGGCCACCAAGTGGGGTTCTCAGCGTGTCGGGACGCAAGCAGGCCTCGGGGAGGGAGGCCGGCGCCGGTGTGGAATGTCTTATCGGGATCCGAGAGCCACAAGCTTCTCCTTCGCTTCTTTAAGCGATCACGGAAAGACACCTTTCGATCTTTTGTCAGACATCTTGGCCCTTAATAGCTAAATTTATTTGGTTTAAAGCGGCCTTGGGAGAAGCAGGGAGGGAAAATCTTTCGTCGGTCATTGGGTGGCCTAGATAACAAACTTTAAAAGAGAGAGGGAAGAAGAAAGTAAAAAGGTTAATGGATGAGGGGAGGGCTGGAAGGCGCCCAGCGTGGGGCTTTTACGGCGACCCTCCTCCGGCCGCCCCCTTATCGCGGCCCTAACTTACCCGCGGCGGATGAAGTACATTAAGTCACGTAAACAGCGCGCGGAGAGGAATGCCACCGCGGTGACCTTTCGCGCGCCGCCGCCGCGAGCCCACCTCCGCGCCGCGCTGGCGGCCGCCGGCGGCGCGCGGGGTCGGCGCGGGGCTGCGGGGCCGCGATCGCGGCCGGCCGGGGTCCGGCGTGGGCGCTGCGCCTTCCTGAGTCCGGGGACCAGCGGCGGGCAGGGGGCGGGGAGCCGGGGCACGCGGTTGGGGCGACCTCTAGGCTGCGCACGTCCCGCGCTTCCGCCGTCACCACCTGACATTTCTAAGGAGTATTTTGGGATTTTCGAGAATTAAAAAACAAAACAACGACAACGCTCCCCCTTCCCTCCAACAACTGTCAGGGCCCTGGGCGATGGCCTGCGTCGGAGTGACAGCCACCGAGTTGAATCGGAGAACGCGCCGCCCCGACCCGGCTAGTGGGCCCGGGCGCTGACGGGGGTGGAGGACGCCGAGGTGACCCAGTGTCCTTTGGCCAAAGCGTCCCCGGGACGGGAAGAAATATGGTACAAGCGAGAAGGCCCCATAAATCTGGTTAAAAACAACAACAACAACAAAAAACCTTTCAAGTTAAAACCTATGCTTTAAAGTCAGAAATCGTATGTATTCTTTTTCTTCCTGAAACGTCGCTGGAGCACCCAGGAGCTTGGTGAAATGATAAGAGGATGAGCTTAAGTTTGCGGGCGTAAAGGCGGATCCTCGGAAGACGCGGGTCCTCGTCGGGGCCTCGCGGCTCGTCCAGAAGCGGCGCACAACTGGCCTCCCAAACACCCTTCCAGTTTGGCCGCCAGGCCCCCGCCCCCTGCCCTATTGGCGGCTGGCTTCGGGCTGGATTCGAGTCGCGAAGAGCGGGGTGGCGCGCGCGGCCCAAATAAATCAGCCCTGGGGACAGGCCTCGCCCGGGAGGCACCCCGCCCCCCTCCGAGGGTGAGGAGGGCCGCTCGCGGAGGCAGGATCGCTCCGGAGGGGCTACTCCTTGGGTCTCAACAGTCCCGAGAGAAACGATTTCGTTCCAGATTAGCAAATCCACCAGAAAGAGAGGCGTTAGGGAAAGAAATGGAAAAAAAGAAAGGAAAGGAAACACGAAGAAAACTTCTAAGAGCATGACCGTCTACCTGAAGCACTGTGGGAACCATCGCCAGCTCTTGGGGTGCACTTCTTCCTCTGCGCCCCCCTAATCACTCCGGCCTTCCCGGACCAGCTGGGGCGCTCAGAGGAAGCTCAGAGCGCCGGGCCTCGGGTCTCTGGGGGGTGGCTTTGAAAATGTGCCGCTCCCCGGGGCCCCGGGGGTGTTGTCCCCAAGGCCAAAGGCGATGCGTTGGGAAAACTGCGAACTGGAACAGTCAGGCAACCTGGCATTCTGTCTGAATAAACTCCACGGGTCAGTTTTGTTTTATTTCTCTGTTAACTGACAAGAGAAACAAGACCAGTCTAAAAAACCAGAAAACAACTTGTGACCCTGCAAAAGAGCAAACAATGACTTCCCTGCCCCCACCTTTGTTTTAAGCAATGTTCAAAACTGATTGGGAATCTGGAGGGTAAAATGCCTTGTCCTTTCTCGAGCCTGAGAACTCGCACGTTGTGGAGTTGGTCTGTGTCCCGCCGCTCACCTCTGTCTCAGCCGTGCCGGGGCCAGCGCACCCTCTCCCCGCTGCTGCGGATTGGCGGGAAAAGCCGGTGCCTGGGGGTCAACTATTGTCCAAGGAAATTCACACGGTCACCCACGTAATTGCAAATATAAGAAACACACACACAGCAGGAATCAGGTTCGCGCCGGGGGCTCGTTCTCCTCGGGGCTCAGGCTTGGAGGCCGTTCACAGCCCGGACTCCAACTCAGCCAAAGGACTTATTTGTTAACTTGTCTTCGTTAGAAATCACCTCATTGAGATATGAATTTTTAAAAAGAAAACTTTGCTTTTGAGAGCAAACCTCAGAAATATTTAAGAACAGTTGGACTCAAAGGAAATCAAATGCCCACAACCTTTCTGTAACGGCTTACAAAGGAGCTTCTGCAAAACTCAGTCTACATAAAAATTTGATCGGAACTCACGTAAAAAACAAAAGAAAGGCATTGGAAGCCCTGGTAGGAGTTAAGTGGACGGCGGACGCCGGGTTATCTACTTTGGTAGACGCATTCGATCGAACTCAGGTTAAATTTTAAAGCCCCTGGATCCTGCTCCAGTCGCCTGTCTCCGTTCCAGAGTTTTCTACCTTCAGTCTTTTCGGAATTGGGGCCACGCTGAAACTGGGAGCCGCCGCAGTGATTGGGGGAGGCAAAGAGGAATGTAATAAAAGTGACTAAATTGGATGAGAACGGTTTATGGACCTTTTCAGTAGCCATTTAAAATTCAAAAGTGTTTAGCAGCAATTTACTACGAAGAATGAAAAAAAAAAAAAGAATTGCCGACTTCCTCGATTCCACTCTTTCCTCCCCCGCTCTGCCAGGCCCTGGCCCCTTGTCCCCCAGGATTCACAGGTTCATAGCTCACAGTCACATAGAGAGGAAACATACATTTAGCCAGGAGGTCTCACAATCTCTCGAAACCCTATTTTACTATGGCCCTACCTACCCCGGCTCAACTCTGCTCAGGCTCCTCTCTCTTCCCCAACTGGAAACATACACACACACACGCACGCACACACACACACACACACACACACACACACACACAGCCCAAACGCTTTCAGGGAGACTGACCTTTAGAAAATCATTTACTTCGATTTACCTTAAAAAAAAAAAAGAGTGTAAGAATCCATTGCCACAAAACAACTGCTCCTGCCCTAGTTAAAATTCTCTCTCGACAGTCTTCTGGGGTCACATCTGTCGGAAGAAATCCTTTTTGTGAGAGAAAGGGAGCGAGACATATATCACGGCTCCTGCCGCGGACGAACCTGCGGCCGCGCGACTCCCCGCTGACAGATCGGCGCTGATAACCCCGCGACGTTCATTTCCAGTCCCTTTGCTGGCTAAGGACCGTATCAGTTTGTACACAGTTGTGATAACCATTTGGAGGGAGCGAAGAAGGGGTGTGTATGTGAGGATGGGGGTGGGGAAGCGGTATTTCGCGCTGGGACCTGGGAAGGTGACCCCCTCCTATTTCCAACGACTTATCTGATACTTACCTGAAGTTCTCCAGGGAAAGCTCAGAGCAAACGGGATACCAAAACTTGGAGAGCACCTCCGGGGGTGACCGGCGTGGAAACCCTTTTCCATTCTGCACACTTCATGGACTAACCTTTACGTACACCATGACCCCCAAAGTTCCCGTAGTTTAGCTGGGGAGGGCTGACGTGAACCTCCCGAAACTTCCCAGGAATTTAGTACATTTCTGAAAAGCAGGGCAGAGATAGGGAGCTGGGCACTCGAGTTCCTTTTTTCCTAGATCACAGGAGACGAGACCCCCGACGGCCACCACGACCTGAGCCTCAGGGTCTCGAGAAGAGGTTGGGAAAGTTTAAGGTCGGTCACACACAACTGCGGAGCTAAAAGCTCATTTAATGTGCAGGGAGGAGCAGGGAAGGCCAGCGGAGGAAAGCACTTTCCCCCCTTATTCTGGGGGGCGCGCTGACCAGGGAGCTGGCGCGTCTCTCCCGCTGCGGTGGCTGCGTGGGGCTGTGCACGGTCAACTCCTCCAGCGCCACCGTCGCCCCCCCCCGCCCCCTTGAGCGCGCGTGTAACTGGGGGAGGAGGAATGGGTGGGGGTCGCCAGCCAGGTCAGGCGTTTTGCCACCTCCGCCCCTCCCCCGGCGTCCCCGGGGTCGGCGCCCCCTGGATGGACTCGCCCCTACTCCCAGGACGGTGCTCGCGGCTTAGCCCACACCCGCAGGCTGCGCGGGGCTCATTGTCTGCCCGGGCGGCGCGCTCCCCTCCCCCCGCCGCCCGCCGTCTCCTCCCCACCCTCTTTTCTCTCCTCCCCTAGCTCCCTCCTCCTCCTCTTCCTCCTCCTCTTCACCTCCAGCGCCCAGCTGCTCGCAGAGCGCAGTTCCGACCCACAGCCTGGCACCCTTCGGCGAGCGCTGTTTGTTTAGGGCTCGGTGAGTCCAATCAGGAGCGCAGGCTGCAGTTTTCCGGCAGAGCTGTAAGAGGCGCCTCCTCTCTCCTTTTTATTCACCAGCAACACCGCGCAGACCCCGGACTCGCGCTCGCCTACCGGCGCCCTCGGCCTCTCTCAGCGCTCTGGAGCCCCCTCCGCCACGGCTGTTCTCCATGCGCAGCGCCCACCCGAGGTTCGGCTGCTTCCTCTCTTGCACGATCTCTCCTCTTTCCTCCTCTGCACCCCCCACCCGTCGCTGGCCCGTCGGCCTCGGCTCTCCGGCCCTCTGCGGGCCGCGGTCGGCTCCGAGGGTTTCTACCTTCTCCACCCCCAGCAGGCACCCAGGTTCCCGGGACACCGCGGACCGACTTATGGTGTCTTTTCCTCTCCCCGAAGCGCTTATCTGCGCGCAGCCTTATCTCCGAGTTATCTTGGCGCAAAGGGGCGGGAGCCGGCAGTCAGGCGGGCAGAGACTTCTTTCCTGCTATCTAGTCCCGGTCTGTGTGTGGGTATTAATTTTAGTATGGTTATCTCCGATGAGCCCAGGCGATTTGGAAAAGCAGCCCCGAGAAGGCCAGTCCGGCTGTATTTCGCCTCCCTCCTCCACCCCCTCCTTGTCTCCCTGTCATTCTTCCTACTCTCCCCTTTGGGGTGGCCTCGGCTCCGGGGCGGTCTCGCGTCCCCCCTTACATTTCCCCCTCCTTTTCTCTGCGCTCCGCTCCACCCCGCTACGTCCGATTCCGGAACGGTCTGGCCTTTCCGCGGCTGGGGATGACCGCGGGGTGGGCCGGGGTGGTCTGGCCGGCGTGGCGCGGCCGGCGTGAGCGCACGCGCTGGCGTCTGCAGAGGCGAGCGGTGTCTTAAGGTGTGCGGCGCCGCGGGGACGCGGGTTGGGCAGGAGTCTCCGGCCCCGCACGCACCCCGAACTGCCTATGACCCGAAGGTCCGAGACTGCGATCTCCGCCCTGCGGCCCCACCTTCCAGGGCTGGGTTGCATTTCTCTCTGGGGCTCGCGTTCTGTCTCGTCAGCGCAGTCTGGGAAGCTCTGGGAAAGCCAGTATGGGAGAACGCGGCGGTTTCGTTTTCGGGAACAGGTTGCCTTCCCTGTGCTAATGATTTTCACGCGGGCAGCTCTCATATTGGGGCATTCCGGGCGAGCGACCCCCGTACGGAGGAATGATAAGGCAGCGCCGACACGCACGGCTACTTAAAAAGTTCCTTTGTGTGCCATCAGCCAGGAGGGAGCCACTTCGGGGCGGAAGGAAAACCTCGGCCAGCCTCTCAGTCACCCTTGGGGTCTGGCGCTCGCGCTGATGAGGGATGCTGCGGAGGGGGTGGGAAGGGAGCGCGAAGGGACCCGAGCCGTGCGGGTGAGGGAGAGCTTGTATCCGGGTCCTGGGAAGATCCTGTGGCGGCTGCGCAGGCCCCATGCCCCTCTCCTTACCCACCCCTTGAGCCCGGGGCAGAAACGGGATCTCTGAGGAATCTCATTAGCTAGGGAGGCGAGTGGAGGTAAGATGTCGTGCAGCCTGCGCTTTGGATAACTCCTTTTTTATCTCTCCTCCCGATCCTGTCTCCCTCCCCATCCGGTCTCAGGAGCTAGAAGTCAGCTAGGAGCGGCGCCGGACCGTGGATGGCCTTGACTGACGGCGGCTGGTGCCTGCCGAAGCGCTTCGGGGCCGCGCCTGCGGACGCCAGCGACTCCGGAGCCTTTCCAGCGCGGGAGCCCTCTACGCCGCCTTCCCCCATCTCCTCCTCTTCTTCCTCCTGCTGCTCTCGCGGTGGGGAGCGCGGCCCCGGCGGCGCCAGCAACTGCAGGACACCGCAGCTCGACACGGAGGCGGCGGCGGGACCCACGGCCCGCTCGCTGCTGCTTAGCCCCTACGCCTCGCATCCCTTCGGGGCTCCCCACGGACCTTCGGCGCCGGGGATCTCTGGCCCCGGGGGCGCCCTGTCGAGCTGGGAGGACCTATTGCTCTTCACTGACCTCGACCAGGCCGCGACCGCCAGCAAGCTGCTGTGGTCCAGCCGCGGCGCCAAGCTGAGCCCTTTCGCCCCCGAGCAGCCCGAGGAGATGTACCAGACCCTCGCCGCCCTCTCCAGCCAGGGGCCCGCCGCTTACGACGGCGCGCCCGGCGGCTTCGTGCACTCGGCGGCCGCCGCGGCTGCGGCCGCGGCCGCGGCGAGCTCCCCAGTCTACGTTCCCACTACGCGCGTGGGCTCCATGCTGCCCGGCCTGCCGTACCTCCAGGGGGCGGGCGGCGGGCCAGCCAATCACGCGGGCGGCGCGGGCGCGCACCCCGGCTGGCCCCAGGCCTCCGCCGACAGCCCCCCGTACGGCAGTGGAGGCGGCGCGGCGGCCGGCGGGGCGGCGGGGCCCGGCAGCGCCAGCTCCGCCGCGGCGCACGTTTCGGCGCGCTTCCCCTACTCGCCCAGCCCGCCCATGGCCAACGGCGCGGCTCGGGACCCGGGCGGCTACGCGGCGGCCGGCGGCGGGGGCGCGGGCGGCGTGAGCGGTGGAGGCGGCAGTCTGGCGGCCATGGGCGGCCGCGAGCACCAGTATGGCTCGCTGTCGGCCGCGCGGCCGCTGAATGGGACGTACCACCACCATCACCACCACCACCCGAGCGCCTACTCGCCCTACGTGGGTGCACCGCTGACGCCCGCCTGGCCCGCCGGACCCTTCGAGACCCCGGTGCTTCACAGCCTGCAGAGCCGCGCCGGAGCCCCGCTCCCTGTGCCGCGGGGCCCCAGCGCAGGTAAGGGTCGCGCCGCGGCATGGGAGTCGGGGCGCGAGGGGGTGTGGAGTAGCTACTTGACTTGGGCCCTGTTTCCAGGGCATTCCTGTCTGGGTGCCCGGAGTCTGACCGCGTTGTTGTGGTGCTTCAGTTTTGAACGAGAGAGACTAGATGCGCAGATATGCCTCAGTGTCTGGGAGGAGATCCAGGGACTTGATGGATAGTGACTGGAGTGGGCAGTTGGAAAAAAATGAGCCCAGGAGGGAACGGACAGGGCCTGAACTTGGTCGCAGACTCCAGTTTGCCTGGGTGGAAGCGTGAGAGTCCATTTGGAGGGTAACTGTAGGAGCGTGTTGGGCATGCGATTCACCCTCTCCTCCAATACACACAGTCACACCCAATTCAACTCTCCCAAGGTCGGGAGCTGCGTGTGTTTCCCTCAGCGAGAGTGTTTAAAGAGGTCCATGGTGGAAAAGGACCTAGTTGGCATCTCCCTGACCCTCAGTGAGAGGGCAAGAAGAGAGGTCAGCCTTGTGACTGTCCGGAGGGAAGGCTGGTGCCGGGGCCCTTTTGCTTGGCATCAGCAGGCCGGCGGGGTGTCGTGCTGTTGCTCCCGCCTGCGTCCCCCAGGCTGGGACCAGGGATCCAGGAGCACTCACGCCTATTCTTCCTCCGGAACCCAGGCCAACAAATTTTCAGTTTCCAATCCCACTCATGCTTTCCATTCCAGTGTCTGGGGGCAGTTTGGAGTGAACTGGGAAAACACAATTGTCAAAATTCCTGCAAATGCCCCACATCTTGAAGAGTGTTTGTCCTGCTCTTCAAGGAGAAGGGAGGGTGTGAACTGTTGTCTGGCCTGACAGAGGCACGTTGGCTTCTTTCCTCAGCTTCAGCATTCTGGGTCCTTTTTCGTGCTTTCAGAGGTCTCTCTTTGTATTTAACCTGTTTGATATAACCTGACAGTCTCCTAAGACAAAAAAAATGGGCTTTTTTTGGCCGCTGTTTCTTTGAGGGGAGCTGTGGGAGTCAAGAAGTGGCAAGGACAAGGAGGCACATCAGCCTAAGGTACCCTACCTGGCGCTCTCAGGCCCCAGGTCTGGGCTTTGCGGGAGAGCCCTTCACTTAGGGACAGCAAGTCTTTTAGGGACCCTAATTAGTGAGGGTCAAGTAAGGCACTGCCAGCCTTGTGTTCAGAGACAGCCTGGGAATGCTAGTGGCCTGAAGGTGTGAAGGATCTTATTTGAATTGCCCTCTCTCAGTAACATTGGGCTGAAAATCCCCTCTCCTCTCCTTGCAAAGCTGGTCCTGGAGACCATCTTTATGGTCTGTGTGTAGAGTGGGGCGGTGGGGAGGGCCCTGTTGAAGTTTGGAGACTTGAGACCACAGACCCCTGTCACCCTTCCTGCTGCATTAGGGACCCACATCTGGCTCCCGGGAGCAGAGAGACAGGGAGAAGGATCTTCAAAGGATGGAAGGGGGTGGTGGTTAGGCTGTGAGGTTTCTGTCAGTCAAGAATCCAGCAGGGAATCCGAAAGGTTGTGTGAGCTGGGTAGGGGGCAGCTCTGCCTGCTTGGCGACGCACCTTAGCGTGACCTCCGTTTCCCTTTGCCCTCTTCCAGCATTACACAGGACAGAGAAGCAGTCCAAAAGACATAATCGGAGTCTTTGGATGTTTAAAGTAATTGGTTTTGTGAGAAAAATCCTTTTAGAGGTGGTAGAGTGCAATTACAGACAGGTTGTAAGTTTTTCAATCTAAACTTAGCCTATCCTTTCACTAATTTTTTCCCTTTTTGGGTAGAACACTGCAAAGTTAGAAAAATCTTGTGTAGACTCAGAGCATGTTTCAAAAAAAAAGGAAAGAGGTTTGGGAACACCCAGCTTTTGCATAAAGAGTCTTTAAAGGCAGGAAGCTGCTGAGAATAAGCCAGTCTGGGGGTGGGGGAGACGAATGACCCTAACTTTGCTTGTCCATTACAGGTGTTTCCATGCTAGAGAGACCTCGACCCCCAGCACCTCTCCTCCCAGCTTCCTAACTGATTCTCTGCTTCTCCACTCTGATTTTTTTTTTTAAACAAACCATTTTTGGAGGCACTCTTTTTCGAGCAAATGGGCAGGGCTAAAACCTGAGCCCTGAGCTTTCTCAACCTGCACAGTGCAGGGTGGAGTAGGGGGCTGTTCTCTGGGAACCTGCTCCATTCACCTCTCCCTGGTGCTGGTGGGGAGTTTTGGGGTGAGTTCTGTCTCCAGAGGCCAGTGCCCTCACAAGCTGCCGCTGAATTGGGTCCATTCTCGGTCCTGGGATGACATTCGCTGGCCTTGCCCTTCTCCCCTGAGTCTGTCACTGCCCAGGGCCACCCAAAGCAGCCAGGTTAGGAGACAGAGGATGAATTGGGGGGAAATGGTGAGAGAGCTTCCAGCACAATCAGATTTCATGATTTATAAAAAGTAGCTTTTTCTTATTTTAGTTATAGGATTGCAGCTGCAGAATGAGGAGTGGGGAAAAGTGTGGAGGCAATGGGAGCTGTAGATTTTATTTAGTTAAAAATAAGCAAACTTCCTAAATTTTATTTATCCAAAGTAGACTTTAAGTTTTGTCTCTGGGTTTTCAGCTGACTAAAGAGATTTACCTGGGGCGTTCACACTGCCTTCTCCGGGGAGTCTTTATTGTTACCAGCCCGGGAGAAGGAGGCCAGGCGTAGGGCTGGGTTCTCCAGGGAATGCCCCAATTCTCCACGGAGAGGGGCTCTGATAGGTAACATTTTAAAGTCAACAACAAAGACAAATACCTTGTTTAACTTCAGTGTCCTTGAAGTCCTGAGCATTTTACTGGTTACCGTAGTCAATAGTAGCTTTTAGGGCGGAGAAGAATAAATCTTTGTGATGTGTCCTAAGTTGCAGTATCCCCATGACAACTTTGAACTCGAGTTATGTGGGAGGCTAGTTTCTTTTAAACTTATTTCTTGAGGAGGAAGGAGACTTGTTTTGCAGGGTAAATAATATTAATGGAATGAAAGATTTCTGTATGTCCAAATCCCGTTTAAATATCTTTACAAAAGTTGATGGTAAACACAAGCTGTAAACTGCTCGTGAATAGAAAGACGAAGAATAGAGAGGCTTGCTAGCATACTCTTCAAATAAACTTTAAAGTGTAATGTTTATTTACTTTAAAAATTGATTCAAAAATGCTCCTTAAAGAAAGCCAAATGGTAACATTTAAATTTTCTATAATATAAGTAACTCTAGACTGGAGATATTTTAAAGTCTATTTAAAAAGTGCTTGATAAGAACCTCATTTTAGATAATTATTCATATTTAACTGATTCAAGGGGAAGTAATAAATGTTAAAACCATTTACTCTAAATTCTTTAGAGTAAATTAGCAGGTTTAGGTTAATTGTGAACTCCGGAAAACTAACCAAGTAGCCAAATGACAAATATAATTTAAATAGATGACCTAAGTTGAACTTTTAGTGCAGGAAAATTGGAAAAAATTTATTTAGCATTGGGACAGTCCGAGTAATTTTCTGAATGGGTAAAGCATCAACCATTTGTAGACGTTTTGTAGATTGAAGCAATAAGACCCACTTTGAAATCATAATATTTTAGTATTTGGTCTTTGTGGCATGAAAATCGAGCTTAACATTTATCTCTGTGTTTATTAATCTTTTAGTGCTTTCCCCGCCCCCTGAGGAGACCTGAGTAATTTCTAATTAATTGGCAAAAGTGCCCAAGAACAGTATTTCTAATTTCACTTGTCTATTTTTTACTGAGGAAAACGAAGAGTAGTAGATACAGCAAATACCTTCAAAAAGTTAACTTGAGATAGAAGTAAAGAAGACAGCCTCACTTTGTCCGGGGATATTTGTGGGTTAGGGCAGGGGTCAGTGATCATTGTTAATGTTGCAAGGCTTGCTGGGGTTTGGCAAGTGGTATATTGTAATTATGATGGATTTCAGTTTTGAAAAGCTTGGGAACAGCCGGAAAGAAGGGGTCAGAGGAGCCAAACCAGCCTCCCCACGGCTCAACTCTGAGGTCCTTGGAGACAGGAGGCAGATGATTCGGGCCGGGCTTCCAGCTCAGTCTCCGACTGCTCTGGGGTTTGCACTGGGTGCGCCCAGGGGTGCAGAAGTATTGGACAAAGTGTTGGTCAACAGGTCGATCGCTATGACATCAACAGCCGGCTCCCGGCCGGGCCGCCGAGCAGAAAGCGGTGGGGAAGGCCGGCACTGCAGCTCGGGGTGCTGGGGTGTCGGGGAGGCCCGCGGAGACGGACGGACGGACCGGCGGGCGGGCGGGACCTCACCGGCTTCTCGTCCCCGCAGACCTGCTGGAGGACCTGCCTGAGAGCCGCGAGTGCGTGAACTGCGGCTCCATCCAGACGCCACTGTGGCGGCGGGACGGCACCGGCCACTACTTGTGCAACGCCTGCGGCCTCTACAGCAAGATGAACGGCCTCAGCCGACCCCTCATCAAGCCGCAGAAGCGCGTGGTGAGTGCGAGCGCCGCCCTCCCCTGCAGCCCGGCCCCAAGCGGCGCTCTTCCCCTGGGGCCGGGGTCTCTCCGCCCGGCCCCGCCCGGCCGCACCTGTCCCCGCGGGGGCACCCGGGGCGGGCCGACTGCCGGCCCCAGCGGTACGCCCGGTTCTCCTGTAGTTTGAGCGCCCACGAGCGCAGGTCCTGAAAGGAGAGTGACGTCCTTAAATGGAAAAAAAAAAAATAATAATGGTGTAGTGTGCTACCATCTTTTAAAAGTACCAAAACTCACTATATTTACAAATCTCTAGATGTACTTGTAAATGCACTGAAATAGTTTTGGAAGGAGATACAAGGAATGAGTAATGTTAGTAACCTCCAGGGAGAAAAACTGAGGCTACAGCCCCAGGTCAGGTGAAGGAAGGAGATTTTTATTTTCACTGTGGACTCTTTGGTCTGGTTTGGAGTTTATTCTTGAAAAAAAGCATGCTTCTTTGTAACATGCCCCCTCAAATGGATATGACAACAGCGAACCCACAGTCCCTTTCTCCCCACAGCCTCATCCTCCTGGACCCCTTTGACTCTGTCCCTTCTACCTCTGGGCCCCTTCCACCTCTTCTCGGAGCCAGACTAGTTTTAGCTCCAAATTCCATCCGTCTTTTGGACTGTCCTTGAGTCGGGTGAAAAATTTATTTACTCTAACCTTTGTTATTTTGAAATGTGGCTGTTCAGAGAACTACAAAGAACTTGAGAAGAAAATGCAGTCTGTATGTTTTTTGCAAGTAGAGGATTTTCACCATCCCGACACATTTCACTATGTTTTATTAAAGTGTGGGAATTCTGATTTTCTTCAGGGATTAATCTCTTATTGTCTTGTGTGTTGTTAAGAAGGAAAGGGTATTTACTGCTGTAGTGATTGGAGAAAATAAACGAAAGCTTTCACAAGCCCCACCGTAAGGCTAACATTTGTTTAGCCAAGCACTCATACTCTAATACCTTTTAAAGTAAAATATTTTACAGTTAGATGCCAGACATCTTAAGTATCCAAGTAATTTATTTAATTGTTATACTCTAATTAGCAGGAACAAATGCTACACATGTTGTTTGTGTTAAATAGATTAGAGTGAAATTGCATCACAATGTAAGTCTGACACCTTAAAGAGAAGCAATTAGTTTTATGGTTGTTTTGTTTTTAATGCATTTAAAATAAAGTGGTCAAGGTTAATTTAATGAGTGTATGTGCCTTAAACTTGTTACAGTCTCCCACAGCTTAAACTTTTCTTCAAAGGGCATCCTTAACTTCAGTGCCTGACTCCCTGTGGTTTTCATTTTTCTTATATGCATCATATTTAAAAAGAAAAAGTACTGCCGGAAAATATTCCAAGGAAGTTCCTTGTTTTCATGTATTAGCCAATGTGTGAACAATGAAACTGATTATTATTTTTTTGGAAAGACTCATTGAGCTGAGTCCAGAAGGTAACATTTTCTCAAGACTGAGCAAAAAAACTGGCAGAATTTAGGTTCTAGTGGCATTTTAAATTTGATCTAGTAACATCCATATTTAGATGGCGGCATTAGTTTTGTGCACTTACCAGTAAAAATAACAGGAAAAAACCCCAGTTTTTAACATCTCTGAATCTATGAGTTTTCCTTCTGTGTAGCAGGTGTCTTGGCAGTGACCAAGGTCAGCCAATGTGCTTGGTAAATGTGTTATAAATGATACCAATTGAAGGGTGTGTCTATCAATTAGTTCTCCTTGTGGGCTTCTTATTTATTGTTTTGCTGGATCTAGTTAGTTCTCAGAATGTTGAACCCAGGTTTGTTTAGCTAGCAGTACAGAACCAATCACTGAATTTGAACTTGTAATACATTGCAAAAAAAGGGATTTATGGTGTAACTTGAATTCCTTGTCAGTGATGAATATAGCTGAGATCACTTGTTACAGGAACTTTTATAACCCACTCACCTTCATTTCACATGTTTATGGGGACTGGCTTCACTTATGATCTGCAGTTGACAGTCATAAAGTTCTTTGTTATAATGGCAAATTCTGATAACAAGTTTGCCTCACATTGGCTCCAAATTCCACTGGAAACTGTCATAAATGACCTGTTTATAAAATGAAACTTCCTGTCCCTAGTTTACTGATTTCACATTTATGAAGAGAAAGGAGTGCTCTTCTGGGAAATTATTTTATTTTAACCATAAAGAAAAAAAAAAAGCCCTGATGTGTAAGATTTTATGTTTTCATCATTTTAAAAGCAATTTCCCAAACAGTTCTGTTAGCCAAACATATTCATTTCAACCAAATGTCAAATTGATTCTTTCTTAGCACTGATTTCTTAAAAAGGTGGCAGTACTAAAAGGCTTCCCAGTGTCTCTTTGGTTTTACAACTTGTCTGTAAAGAGTATGCTACAGCAATACAACAGGATGTGAGTTATAAAAGTAAAATACAATTTTAACTTTTAAATTTGCCAATGAAGATTTTGGAACTCTCTGTCTTTTAGTCTGAATATTCAGTGAATGCTCAGTCTGTGTTTTTGTTGTCCATTCTTTATAACTTCTTTTCTTAAATTAATCATCGTTACCAACTTCCCTAATTCTGTCTTTCAGCTTGCTTTGGTCCCTGGATTTTCCCCATAGCTTTTTTTTTTTTTGTTTAACTGAAATCACAGCAGGGTTTTAGTTGCCTATCTAGGTAATTTAAAAACAAACTTAGATTTTTGTGATTCTAGGCAGGAACTTATACTAGCTTAAATAGCCCCTCTTTATAATTCACACATAATAATTTAGAGGAAATAAATTCCATATAAGGATGTTATGGGTATGAAAGGGAACATAGAAATCAGAGTGACAGACTGTTGGCCTCTTCTGATAAATTTAACCCTTTGTATGAACAAAAGTTGAGTACTATATTGACAGGCTAAATAAAATATAGCAGCATCACCATATATAAGACAATGCCAGCACTAACACAATGTTGTAAAATTTGCTAATCCTTTGTAAAATGGTTAATACAAAAATTCATGCAATAGGCAATCATGATGATAATTAATGAGATGTATTAAAATATATTTCTTTCCAAAATTTTTGTACATTTTCCAAAATCCATTTCTGTGAATATATATAGGCCCTTCTGCAGTTTCTGGTTTATTCCTCTGCACATATCTGAGAAATAGATCGATATCTCAGTTTTCAGGTGAAGCAGAGACTCCCCAAAGCCACTTAACATGTTGGCAGGTGGTTTGTGACTGCGTTTCTTTTTTTTTTTTAACAAATTTATTTATTTTATTTATTTATTTTTGGCTGCATTGGGTCTTTGTTGCTGCAGTCGGGCTTTCTCTAGTTGTGGTGAGCGGGGGCTACTCTTCGTTGCGGGGCGCGGGCTTCTCATTGTAACGGCTTCTCTTGTTGCAGAGCACGGGCTCTAGGCACGCGGGTTTCAGTAGCTGTGGCTTGCGGGCTCTAGAGCGCAGGCTCAGTTAGCTGTGGCACACGGGCTTAGTTGCTCCACGGCATGTGAGATCTTCCCGGACCAGGGCTTGAACCCGTGTCCCCTGCACTGGCAAGCGGATTCTTAACCACCGTGCCACCAGGGAAGTCCCCTAGAACATCTTTTAAAAAGAGAAAAAAATCTAGAAGTTTCTCCTCAATGAACAATTTCCTCATTTGGGACCAGGTCTGCCAGAGCCTCTGACAATACACACAGATAGAAAACATTTCTTGTCCGGGAAGCTTGGTTTCCCTTGTGCGAGCAGAATTCCAGAGGAGGGGGCACAGAAAAACTCATTTCTTTACTCTTGTGTCTCAGCCGTCTGACAACAGTGAGTGCAGGCATTGGCCAGCATTGTGACTGCTTTAATCTATGCTAATGGGCTGGAGCAAATCAATCTTATGTATTGGATGGAGCACACTTTGGTCCAGGAAGGTCAACCTAATTACACGTCAAGGTTTTTTTCTCAAGGGACCTCTTATTTATAATAACCAGGTACATGCTTGTTGATGGCAGGGACGTGATACATTGATGTATGTAACATATGCATAAAAATCACATATCTGTACACTTACATTCTTGTGCTGCTTTCTAGCCTTCCTCCCGCCGGCTTGGATTGTCCTGTGCCAACTGTCACACCACAACCACCACTTTGTGGCGCAGAAACGCCGAGGGTGAACCTGTGTGCAATGCTTGTGGACTCTACATGAAACTCCATGGGGTGCGCCACCTACTCTGCTCATGTGTATACACGTTCAGTGTCTTGTTTGTACATAGTTTCAGTTTAAAAAATCAGCAAAGGAGAGGGCATAAAAGTGAAAAATCTGATTTTCTATATGTACCTCTGACTCGAGGGTCCTGTTAATTATAATAGAAACTTTAAGAAACAAAAAATACTGCCAATTAAACTGTCACACAAATCCAGAGTAAGACATCCCAATTTTAAAAATACTAAAATGTGGGAAAGTGCGTTTTAGAATTGATAAGATGGTAGTAAGCTTTAAAAAAAAAGCTGTAAAGTCAAAGTATAGTTGATTTATAATGTTCTTGTTAGTTTCAGGTGTACAGCACAGTGATTCAGTGATACATATGTGTGTGTATAATATATATATTATATACATATATATGTATTCTTTTTCAGATTCTTTTCCCTCATAGGTTATTACAAAATATTGAGTATAGTTCCCTGTGCTATACAGTAGGTCCTTGTTGGTTATCTATTTTGTATATAGTAGTGTGTATATGTTAAAAAACTGTACACTTAAAAAGAAAAAAGAGCATGGAACCAACTAGAAATTCACACTAACTAGTTTATAGCTTAAAAAATGTGAATGCAATCAAATACATTTATACAAAAGAGGAATAGCTATATTTGATAGCTATAGTTAGATTCTACATTTTAAGGATAGCGCAAGATATATGTCAATTTTAAAAAGAAAATTATCCTTGGTATATGTAGGGAGAAGAATACATGATCTCTTTGAAATAAAAATATTTATTTTTCTTGTATGTATTCAGTGTTTTTACACTGAATGTATTCAGTGGTTTTACTCTGTAATTGAAGTTGTTTAAAACAATAAACATTAAGTTGAAGGAGTAAGTTCTCCCTGGCAAATCACCCTCCCTATTTTTTTTTCTGGAGGAATCTCTGCATTTGATGGGGAAAGTGTAGTCTTTATGCAGTTCGAAGTGTATGTAAAAATTGGATTGGCATTTATGCCAAGTTCTTTTAAATGAGGGCTTTCAGTACTGAGGTTGGGTCTTTAGTTTGGTTTTTCTTCAATATAATATTTATTAAACTCATGGCCTACGTGAACAATTTTTAGGTGCCTCGACCGCTTGCTATGAAAAAAGAGGGAATTCAAACGAGGAAACGAAAACCTAAGAACATAAATAAGTCAAAAGCTTGCTCCGGTAAATATAACAAAATACTATTTGACTGTCAGGTATTTGCCAAACTTAGCAGAGTATATGTATATTTATGAGGTTAATTTTGACTGTTGCAGGTAATAGCAATACTTCTGTTCCCATGACTCCAACTTCCACCTCTTCTAACTCAGATGACTGCAGCAAAAATACTTCCCCTACGACACAACCGACAGCCTCAGGGGTAAGTGTTAAAACAGTATAGACTCCTTCTAAGCTAGTGGGTTGCTCTCCCGGTATATTATCTCAAATTTTATCTTATCTGGTAGTACAATAATCTAAACCAACAGTTCAGTTTTGTTAGCTGATACCTAAGAATAGTTTTTAGAGGAAATTACATTTAAATGTCAACAAAATGACAAACTTAAGTACTTTACAAACCTCTTAATTAAGATCCACATCATTTCTTTATGGTTAAATTAACCCAAGTAAAGGCAAGAAGTTTTGGTTTGAAGTGCTTTAAATTGTTTTATTTCCAGGTTTTTATCTGAGTTTATATATATATATATGTACATGTATATACAGTAGAAATGTATATACATGTATTATATATTTCTAATGTAGATCAGGAAAAGTACCAGCTCAGTGGTTTTATATATCCCAGTGCCCATGGCATTTAAATTGCTTTTGCTTATCTTATCAACTCCAGCCTTCTTTCTTCTCTTCCTTCTTTACATTAAAAAAAAAAATCATCTACCCAGAGCAAAGCTCATCACAATGAGTCATGTGATGTGCTGCTGTATTCGCTGATCTTCACCTAACAGTCCTCTGCTGGGCTGGGCAGCCTCGCCATCTTCTAATGCACCTTGATTGTACCCAGGCTTATTTCAGCCTGGTGATCAGCCTGTGAGCAGTTCGGTTTGTGTGTGATAAGGGTGCCTGGGTCTTTGTGAAGATCACAGACTTCGTTTCAGTAAAGCTGTAATTGAAACTCAGGTTTTCTCAAATGAAGAGCACTTTCCCACCCTAGTGTTTCCTAAATTTACCTGGAATGCCCTTTAAAAATGACCGGGCCGCACCCTGGTCCTCAGAGATCCAGGGCCCGACCTGTGCGGCAGCATTTCACAGCCCCGGGTGAGGATTACACTGAGACTGGTTTAGGGCGAAACATTAGCATTAAAATTCCTACTTAGTAATTCTTTTCTACATTTAATTTTGCTTTATTTGGGGTACTTTGAAATACTACAGATTCCTGGGCTCCACCCTGGATTTTCTGAGTCAGCGTCTCTGGGGGTGGGGCTTGGAAATTTGTGTTGTTGAACAATCACCACAGGTGAAATTGAAACTACTGCCCTTGAGTTGTCTTTGAACCAGGATCCATGGAGCTGGTATTTTTACTGGCTTAAACAAACAAAAATTTAAAAAAAAGTTGTTAACTGCTTAAAGGTATGTTTGATATTTTTCTTTGACTCCTCCAATTCAAACACTTTTGGACTCTTTTTCTTTAATGAACAAGAAGTTTGTTCAGAGTTTCCAAAGGGAAAAAGCCTTTCTGCTGTTTTTGTTTGTTGCAGACACATATTCTTAAAGAACGTTTCTAGCCTTTATAAAGGTGAACTCTGGTGAATGACTTTTTTTTTTACAGGAGGGTAAGATGTAACTTCAAGGGTCTAAAGTGGTAAATAGAAGTTGTGAGGAAATGAAAAGGTCAATATTATTTTAAAATATCCTTTATTGTGCCCTAATTCCTCAGAAGCAATTACGCGGCTTAAATCAGGAGAAAGGATGTTCTGGTTTTCTGAAGCGTTGAGGGATCAGCTAGGGTTTCAGCCTCAGTATCTGCCTCTCCTGGCTAAAAAGTGGATTGCTGCCAGCTCCAACTCACTTTTGTTGGTGCTACAGTCCAAGCTTAGCATGGCAAAAGCTAAATTTGAATGATAAATGGCACAGAAATAGAGATTTTTGCCCAACAATGGGCTTTGGAACCTTAGTGGGCGGAGTCTGTTTTGCCCTTGTGGTTTTGTGATGTAAAATTTCAAAATTGGCTATTTGCAAGTCCAATCAATTTTGCCCTCCAGGGGAGGAACAGTGCAAAGGCAGTGACAGGGTCAGGCCCGGACTTGTCTGGAAGAAGGACCTCGGGAGTCCAGCAGCTAGTCCCACGGCAGCTTTGGCGTCCCTGCATCTGTCTCTCACTTGGGACCCAGCGTGCCAGGGGAGGCTCGTCGGCCAGTGCCGTCAGATGAAAGCCTCAGTTTTCTACCAGAGGCCAGGAGGCAAAGCAATTTTAGTATTAAAAAAATATATTTTAAAAAGTACTTCAGAGATTGGGGGAGTTGGAGAGCAGTTCCTTACAAGGTCTTTTGCTGCACTCTCCCCATCACTCCCGGAGCCCGGGCAGCCTCTGTGGGAACCAGCGGTGTGAGTTGCAGACCCGGGGGTGGGCAGTTCTCCGAGCCCAGGTGGCCTCAGAAGTGCTTCCTGACAGCTTTTCCCGAAGCTGGTGGGGTGAGGTCAGGGCTTGGCGGGGGAGGGGGGGGGGGGGGGGGGGTGGGGGGGGAGGATTGCCTATCATCCCCTCCTCCCTCCAGGGACCCGCCCTTCCTGGCCTGGGCTGGCACTGGGCTCGTGGGTTTTCTCCGGATGGCCAGCCCATCACGGAGTCTCCCAGCATCGGTGCCTTCCTGATGTGGGTGTTGACTACCCGGCAAAAGCCAGTAGACTGGCTGCTTTGGGAAACTGTCCCCTCCAAGGATAATTGTAGCAGACTCAGTGGTTTCCCCAGGAGTGCCAGTGTGTGTCCGTTGGTCCCTGGACACTCTTCAGACCCTCCTGGGCCGGCTGGTTCTTCGTGCGCGTGGCTGGCGTGGCAGCGGCGGCGCCGTGAAGAGCCTGCTGGAGCCGTTATCTGTGAGCAACTGGCAGAAGCATTTGTGAAAGGCGTCTGTGTTGACAAAGAAGTGACATTTTCCCATTTTGGTCCCAGTTTATCACGTTGGAGGGCAGCTGGCGTTGTGAATGACTGCTTTATAGGATTTTGTGAGTGCTGTAGGTGAGGGGGATGTTATTATATCCACACAGCAAGGTTGGGTCCTTCTTCGGCTTGGCGTTTAAAACCTCCAGTGATGATGGGTCTGCCCCGTGGATCTCCAGCGGCCCCTGTGACTGACGGGGTGGAAATCAGTCCTGCAGGGTTGTCCTCAATTAATAGGGACAGCCAAGCTACAAAACAAAGGACAATCGTAGGCATACTCCCAGTGGAACAAGGAAAGGGGCCACACGCTCTACTTAGAGATACAAGTGGCAACATACCCGCTCCTCCACCTTTCCTTAATGACTGTGATTTAAAGCACAGAGACAGTTGCAGAGACTGTATGAGACTTGCTGTTTTAATTCCCCGCTGAGAAATCAGCTGTAGGAGATCACCAGGAGGCATTCCTAGAGGACTTCTTTTAAGTTCTGATGTCCCTGCATGTGGGCATATTCAGTGGTGGTACTATCGTGACCTGGCACCTGAGCAAGCCTGGCTGGAGCTGAGTATTCTGGAGCACACGAAAATCATTTTTGTACTGCTCTGAAGCCTCATTTTGTTGACTTTGTGGCATGTCTTAGCTTTATATACGTGTGTTGCTCCTTTGCGTTTTAACTAGACCTCTGTCTCGTTTCTTCTGATAGTCATCAGGTTGCTGACCTGCTCCCTTATGACTCAGTTTCTCTGTTGCAGGCTGTGCAGGTGTGGTGTGTAAGTTTTGGAGGTGAAGGGAGGGCAGTTTGTCTCCTGTATGAGAACAGGAAGACCCGTTGCTGCTGCCGGGCAGCCTGGTATTAAAATAGCCACTGTCTTGTTCCTTTGGAGTTCTTTTTTTAAATTATTGCAATAAATGATTTATTTGCTTTCATTTATATGATATTTACTATTCATTAGACCTTATTATTTTTCATTTTTCTTTTCCTTATTTTCTCTGTTTTTAAAATTTTTTTTAAGTTATTTATTTTTCGGGGGCCTTGCCATGTGGCATGTGGGATCTTCCCCGACCAGGGGTCGAACCCATGATCCCCTGCGTCCGTAGTCCTAACCACTGGACCCACCAGGGAAGTCCTATCAGAATTTTATAATCAGTTTCTTGTATGGAATTCTTTGTGTTTGTTAAGAAATGTGTTGAACTTAATTTTTGATACAGTTGATTAATTTTGTGAGTTTTGAACTTAAAGATAAATTTCCTCCAAATGTTTTATTTTTTTCATTCAGTCTGAAATCTTCTTTATCTAAATCTTCTAGATTTACTGAAAAATGTTTATTTAGTTGACCGAAACAGACATCAGATTTTCTTTGGCATTTAGAGTCTCTGTGGATTGTAAGAATATTTGAATTTTTCATTGAATTCCATTTATTGACTGAGTTATGTTTTACGTTTGTTGTTATTAGGAGGCAAATATGGTAACATTCTATTTCAGCAATTCCCAAATAAGATTTAATAAGTAGTCTCTATATATTCTATCCCTCTTAGGACTTGTAAGTAAAAATTTGTAAAACTGGAGGATACTTTACATATATACACACATATATAAAATGCATATGTATATTGTATATATGTATGTAACTATAATATACAAAAACTTTATAACTCATCCCCCAATTTATAAAGTTATCTCTTAATTTTCTTTGGGACAGGAAGGATTAATTTGATAAAGTGAGTAATAAGACAATGGCTGAGGATAAAAAAGTCACTGAACATATTTTGTCTGCCTACAAGTAGTTCTGTAGATAATTATTTAACAAAAATTAAAACCTACTTAAGTTTATATTAAAACTGCAAATATAATGTTGAAGTCATCATTAAACATATAATGTGGAAATAAATGGAGATGAACTCTATCTGACTAGCCCTTGCCTTACGGTCGTTGTTCCATTTAAGAAGCATTGTGCTACGGGATGCCCTGTTTTCAGTGTAGTAAAACAAGGTCCTGGATATCAGATTGTTGGTAACGTGGTGGTCGTGGTGGGGACACGTGTGTATAGACAGATCTTCCTGCTGGTCAGATTTGAAAGTGTTTTAAATGAGCAACAAAGTTGGGAGTCGAAAGTAGGGAGCCGTGAATTCTGACCGCAGGGTTGGAAATGGCTTCTCAGAGGAGAGGAAATTTGAATTAGTTGTGTAGGATTTTTGTGGGGGAAAAATCGGGATAGAGGTTTCCAGGAAGAAGAACATGGTAACTGTGATGCTTCAGGGACATAGTTTTAGG